CTGTGTGTAGGTGTGTTTATGTTTCTTTAAAAATTCTGTTTATTTTCAAATTTTATTGATTGTTTTGCATTAGAGAAGATATCATTTGAAATGCTTTTATGCTATAGAAATTAAATGAAAGGCTACACTACCATTTTAATGTATAAGTGAAATCTGCTGAAACAAAATATCGGTCATAATTTTTTTTTTCTTCCAATATGGAAATTACCATTGTGGACTATAATCAGATTATTCTGTTGATAACAAATATTTGTGTAAATATGAACATTGCATTAATGCATGAAATGTTTTCTTAACTGTAATAATGCGAAAACACAGAGTAGAAAACTAACGATTACGCTGCCACTATCAGAAACTATGGTTTGAAATTTTTGCAAACAAATTTCTGACTACAATTTTGTTTGATTATTTGGTCACTATGTCTCCAGTCTTTATAAAAATAATGCTGTAGTGTCTTTGTGTACCACTGGGTAGGGGATGGTCTATAACAATACAAATCATATTAAAGATTTTGTATGATTTTCTTTTGAGTGGTCTGAGTGTGGATGAACTTGTACATTTTGCAATTTGTAAGTTGGTACAGTCTGTATGTAGTTCTTTTGAGTGGAATTAATGTCGAAAAATTGTACAAGTTCATTTATGCCACAGTAATAACTTTTGTCATTGATTTTTCTGTTGAAGAAAATTGACATTTTTAGTGTTGATTTACAAATAAGTATTAGTAGTGAATTTTACCTAAATGTAATGTCTTCACATGATTTTGAAATGTACCACACATATTTTTGTAGGTTTGTGGTAATGTTGGAGTATAGATAGACATATATGCTAATGTACAGTCATATGGTAGTTTTCACTGTGGTGTCTCCAGTTGATCATTAAATTTATCTGGTGCTATATACCTCAGTTGAAGACCCAAGGTTCCTGGGGTGGTTCCAATTATCATTGAACATCCTGTGTCATTAGGCAAGAAGTTTACAATTTCCTCCAAGTTGCTCTAGATGAAATGTGATGGACCTTTCTTAAAATGTTTTGTAAGCTGGTCACCAGCTATAATAATTTAATGTTACTTTTTGCTTTACATATTCCAAAGATACAGAGTACACAATTCACCTAATATTGAAAGCAACACTCTTGCATGTTGAAGACGTATCATTAATTTGGTTTCATTTCCTCATGATATGTGATTGTTTATGAGGAAGCAATCAATGGCAACTTACTACATTTTCTGTATATATAATTATCCATCTATGTACAAGTGTATCATAGCCAACCTTCATGTAATTGTAAGGTTAGAGGAGTGTTTTTACAGCTAGTTGGACTAATGCAACCATGGAATTGTGTTGTTATATACCTATACAGTTAACTGGATTAGAACAATCATGGAATCATTATCTTATCCACTCATACAGTGAGCTGGATCAGAACAATCATGACATTGTTACAGTATCTACCTATGCAGCTAGCTGGATTAGAACAATCATGGCATTGTTACATTATCTACCTATGCAGCTAGCTGGATAAGAACAATCATGGAATTGTGTTGTTATATACCTATACAGTTAGCTGGATTAGAACAATCATGGAATCATCATCTTATCCACTCATACAGCTAGCTGGATTAGAACAATCATGGCATTGTTACATTATCTACCTATGCAGCTAGCTGGATAAGAACAATCATGGCATTGTTACATTATCTACCTATGCAGCTAGCTGGATAAGAACAATCATGGCATTGTTACATTATCTACCTATGCAGCTAGCTGGATTAGAACAATCATGGAGTTGTGTTGTTATATACCTATACAGCTAGCTGGATTAGAGCAATCATGGAATTGTTACATTATCTACTTATACAGCTAGCTGTATTAGAACAATAATGGAATTGTTACATTATCTATCTACGCAGTTAGCTGGATTAGAACAATCATGGAACTGTTATTTTCTTATACAGCCATGAATTTATTTTTTAAATAATTTTTCAAACAGCAACGTACAACATAGAAGCAAATGTAGCAGGGAAGCAATGTAGGTAGAGATTGAAAGAATCAATGACAATAGAAACAATTAAAAAAAAACAACAATAATTTGAATTTAGCAAATTTAATAAACAAAATATACAAATGCCTTATGGCTGCTATGATTTTTATGGGACCTACATACATTCTTTTTGAATAATGAACAGGTAAAATTTACAAATAATTTTATTTGTTTATGAAAGGAATTATGAAATGATGCCTTTTGGAATATAACTAGGTAACATCAAGAATATAAATGTTCTTCAGTGTTACTATTAAAACCTGCACAAAACTGATGTTGAAAATGTTAGATATAATCCATAGAGTCACATATGTGTATACAAAATCCTCCTTGGTACCCTGTCCTCTTGTATTTCAATGATTGTCAGTTAATTAGTCCTCCCAAATATCATGAAGTCGCTGCTGCTTGTGTCCACATCACAGGATCAGGTTCATCGACATCACTAGCTACTCCATGTTTCTTCTACAGGAAAAGAAACTAGATTTAATTCACATTTTAATCTACGTTAATACTTAACAATCCGCAAAAATGTTATATCTTCACAACTTATTCATGTAAACAATCTAAAAGTAATATAAAGATATATCTCATTTTGTTTTTATCTTTTATTTTTTCATTATAATTTTGATAATGATACGTTTCGTGCTTGTCTGTTGATAGGTGTCGTGTCTGTCGTTGGTATGTTGGTCGGTAGGTGTCATGTCTGTTGTGTGCATGTCAGTCAGTATTTGTAGGCGCCGTGTCCGTCATCAGTCAGTTGGTCGGTAGACGTGTGTCCTTAGTCGGTCAGTCGGCCGGTGGGCGTCGAGTCCGAAGCCGATCAGTAGGTCGGTAGGCGTCGTGTCCGTCGTCGGTCGGTAGGGGTCGTGTCCGTCGTCGGTCAGTCAGTCGGTAGGCGTCGAGTCCGTAGCCAATAATAGTCTAGTCACCCTATGATAAACACCAAACTAATTGCAACAGAAATAATTTCTATGCTAAACGTTACATCAACTAACCATAAACAACATATCAAAAATCGACAAAGGGGAAAATGATTAAATCTTCATCATTAATAAGTAGCTGAACGGTGGAAATTGCGATGATCTTCTCAGCACGTATGGACCACCTAATTAAAAAAGAGTTCCACAAGGGCAATGATCTCAATGCAGAGGTTTCAGGAAACAGTTAATTTGCATGTTTCCTGAATTACTTGTCATGTTTGAGATATACAGGTATAGCAGATTGGTTATGAAAAATACATCATTACATGTATATATATTTATAAACTACACAACAATTACATTAACAGTAGAGAGATGAAATTTGTGTAAAAAAACTTTTCCTCTGATTTCTGACATTTGATTGTCATGGTTACCTACTGAAAAAATGCTAAAAATGCAAAAATACTGCTAATTCCAACCTAACACTACAACTTTCTAGAAGAAATTTAATTCTAAACACCTATCTTACAATCAACAACACTGTCATGGTAACAAAGTACTTACATTTAAGCAAATTCCAACTCGGAAATTCTTCATAACAACACCAGATGTAAACACTATGAAAATTTCACTTCCTGTAAAGCTAGTTTTTGGTGCGTTGACACAAATTCGAGACTGCCCATATCGTAATCTCCAACACACAGCTAAAATATTATCCTAAAAAAATGAAACCCCACATTGTCCACTTAAACATGACAGGACCAATTTTAGCAAGGATTTTTTTTTCATTTTTAATTAAAACCTTTATAATGGGGTAATCTAATGAGCAAAAAAATCACCCATGGCCACACCGAGAAACTGTGTACTGCTACCTTATACATCACAATTAGTTTTTTTAATTTCATTAAAATCCCTCTGAGTGTCTAGAAAATGATCAGACGAACAAATCCAGATATCGCTTTACTGTGTATCTCGAATAGCTATCGAGTAATATAGCTTTTCCTGCATGGTGTGTTTTGACCAATTCTGCTCTCAAATTAGGAAGAAAGGGAGGTAATTTGAAAAATTAAAACCTCAACAAGTCTTAAATTTACTTGAATAAAGTTGCAATTGAAACTGAATCGAGTAGTTTGTGCTTCTGTGAATTTAGATAACTGAAAAGCAGATTGATACTACATATATAAAGTCTGATGTTATGAGGTCATGGTAACGGCTGATGTCTTCAGTACTAAGACGTCATCAATTGCTAATGATGACTTCACCAATGCACTGTGATTGGACACATTTCTCGAAAGTAATTAACAGTGATATGATATTAGATATTCTTAAATGTCATGTATATGACATCACAAACACCTATGCTTACTGGAGACATTTTGTCTTCTTTATACTCATTTATTGTAGACTAGTGGTTGAATTAATGTTAATGGTGTGCAGTTAAAATCGCTAACAAATCTGGCGTCCAGGAAAGAGTACATACCAACCACTACCGCAAATTGTGATAAAACAAAATATCGCCATGTCAGCAGCTGGATACCTTGATTGTGGCCAAATGTCACAGCTTTTTTCAGCATGTCTTTTAGGAAGCCTAAGAGAGGCCAATGACAAAACAATGTGAGTTGCCAATGACAGAATAATGTGAGTTATACTTTAAATAGAGGTAAACCAATGATTGATTATCATGTTATAATGTTAATAGTATAAAATAGTTTTCTTGTTATAAATTACAGTTATGCCGCTGTAAATGAGACTGTGGAACAACAGTTAACGTATGATGTCATATATGACGTGCTTCTATCTATTCATGACATCAAAATGGCTATGAAATTTACACCCGAGTCTGGAAATATTGTTTTAGTCAAAGTATTGCTTAATTAAAACTGCAATGTCTCTTACCGTGTCAGAAATGTTACGAATAAAATCTCCATGACTAAGATCAATCCTTGTGTTTGTCCACCTCTTGTGAGTTCGAACTATGCGGAGTTAGATGACATCATTATCAATTTCATGTCTTTGTTGAATCACTAAACACTCACTCACTCATGCCCGTTATGCCATGTGGCATGTAGGGCGGCTACGAAGGATCGCCACGTCTGCCGGTTCTGGGTCAGCCTCTGGATGGTACCCCAACTCTGTTCCATTGTCTTGAGCTCTGTCTCTACAGTTCGGCGCCAGGTTTTTCTTGGTCTGCCTCTTTTGCGCTTCCCCTCTGGTGTCCAGTGAAGGGCTGTGCCGGTGATGTTGTCCTGATCTTTCCTCATGACACACCCTATCCATCTCCATCGCCTTCGCATGATGATAGTCTCCATGTTGTCTTGACTACATCGGGCAAGCAGCTGTTGGTTTGAGATGGTGTTAGGCCAAAAGATTCTCAGAATTCTCTGGAGATTTTTAGTGTGGAACACCGACAGCTTGTTCATGTCAGTATCTGTCATCCTTCAGCACTCAGAGCCATACAGTAGTGTGGACAGTACGCAGCTCTGATAGATCCTCAGTTTGGTCTTGTTACTGTATTGAGAGGACTTCCACAAATTGTTGAGCATTCTGAAGGTGTTTCTGGCCTTGTTCAGATGATTCCTAATGTCACTACCAGCTCCTCCGTCATGCATTACAGTACTACCCAGGTATGTGAACTCTTCCGTAGTTGGCAAGTCCTTTCCATCTGTAACCTAGCCGAGCGATTGCCACACAGACAACAACTACATTGTTATATATTTATATATTTACATTTATACAAGTTATGTTTTTGTTTTTTTTCTATAAAAATCAGTTCACCATACACTCATTACACCTTCCACTGAAACAATCCACAATCACCAGTACATACACACACAAATCACAAATATAGTATCACCAATAAACCTAAACCCTAAAGTCTTTGTAGCCTCACATTCCTATCACAGTTGGGTTATCACAGATGGTATAGAATTTTCAAAGTCTGTCCAAAACACTTTCATGGAGAAACAACTGTTGTCCAAACCGACTGATGCCTCGTTTGTTATGTACCTTCCAGCACTAATGGCTGATGGCTTCAGTTTGAAACAACGAACCTGGCACGACACCTCTTGGTTTCCAACATGTAAGTGTCAACCACAGGGCAAATTAGTGGCCGTACTGGCTACTCTCGAGTGCACTTGCGTAGTGTACTCTACCTCCCACTATCACCATGTGAACTCTGGTACAAGTACTGTTCAATTATATACATAAAGCAGAGTCAGAACTGCTATAGACACATGAAGTCTCCCGGCTTCCGTACTTCCCACTTTGGACAAAGCCTTTTCATATAAGAAGCTACAAAATATGAAAATAACCCTACAGTATTACTGTTACACCTTTACAACATTAGGTATTATATATTGTTATCATAACAAGCGTCATGTATCTTCATGATGCAACATTTACAGGTAGAAAGCTACGTAAATCCATTCATACACACTTAAACATAACTTTCGGCATAAACATTCAAACCACAGATTATATATACACAGAGAAAGAAAGCGAAAGAGATGTGAGATCATTTGTGTACTTACCGTGACTGTTATTCACGCTTCTTCAGAATAAAACGGCATCTGCATTTCCATACCGTGTACCTGTATTCAATACCGGGTGGACTCTCTCCTATGGAAGCCCTGAGCAACCGTACAATCGCCGGTAAAGCAATACTTACCGTAAAAATAGAGTCGGATTGTGACACCATCCACTTGTACTGGTGAAGGATTGGTAACATTCAGCAGCATTACTTCGGTCTTCTTCTGGCTGATCTTCAGGCCGACTTGCTGTGCATATGTGCTGAGTCGAGTTGTCTTCTCCTGCATGTGTTGATGTGTATGGGAGACCAAAGCTAGATCATCTGCAAAATCTAGGTCTTCCAGCGTTGAGAGGAGGGTACATCTGATGCCCCTCGACTGGTCTTCAGTTGTATGTCTCATTACCCAGTCCATAGTCAAGTTGAAGAGCATTGCTGACATTGCACAGCCTTGTCTAACTCCAGTCTTCACTTCAAAGCTGGTTACACTGCTGCCTACTCTGCATGTGAAGTTGTTGTAGAAGCTTTTGATGATGTCGAAGGATGCGCCATAAACTTATCCGATGCACACTGTCAAATGCCTTCTCAAAGTCTACAAAGTTGATGTATAGCCGTATTGCTGGTCAACTGTGTCAGTTAATCGCTGGATGATTATCTTGGCCAGTATTATGCTTGGAACTGACAGCAACGTAATTCCACGCCAGTTGTTGCAGTTGTTGAGCGCACCTTTCTTTGGGATCTTTACAATGACTCCTTCAGTCCAGTCTTCGTGTAATGTCTTTCCCTCCCAGATCGCTGTAAAAAGAGGCTGCAGTAGGTCTGCTGCTAGCTGTGGATAAGCTTTCAATATTTCTGCGCTTAGATTGTCTTGCCCGGGGGATTTTCCGTTCTTGATGGCTGCTATTATCGCCTCTTTTGTGGGGGGTTCTCTGTTGACATCCAGGTCATTCTCTGCCTCTTGTATGTTAGCTTCTGTTGGTGGAGGTGGCCTATTCAAGACTTCACTAAAGTGTTCTGTCCATCTTGCCTCCTGTTCGGCTTCTGTTGTTAGCAGTTTTCCCTGTTTGTCCAACATTAGTGCATCTGTGCCTCCTCTGAACTTGCCGCATACCAGCTTTGTGATCTTGTAGACTCTGCCTTGCTCTCCTCTGTTTGCTGCATCATCTGCAATGCTTGCAAGTTCTTCCATATAATTTCTCTTGTCCGACCTTGTCATCATCTTCACTGTTCTGTTTGCTTCCCTGCACTGTAGCTTGTATTTCTCCTTCAGTCTCTCGGATTTGGCCTCCAAGACTTTCTTCTTGAGTGTTCTTCTGTTCTCGATGGCTTGCCAGGTACCTTCTGATCCACTCCTTCTTCCGCTGCTTTGTTCCAAGGCAGGATTTGCAGGTCTGTTCATATGCTGTCTTGAAATGCCGCCACTCGACATTGATGTCTACGGTGTCTGGCTGTGTCAGGTTTTCAGCATCTGCCAGCACCTGGAACCTGTCCCTCAGCTGTAAGGTGAAGGTATTCTTCACTCCAGGGCTCAGGAGTTTCTCCAGGTCAAAGTGTTGTCTGCCTTTCTGATTAGTTCCGGTCTTCCTCATC